GTTTGGCAAATTTTCTCTAGTAAGGGAGCCTTGTTGACCAACTTACGATTGAGGGCATTGAGAGGCCACTTTCAATTTAAGGTGCAATTCTATTGCACTAAGAGGTTGCTTGTGGTTTGTTGTCAACGTCCATGCCCATGGCAGGTCCGAGCATCGAGAATTGGAGAATACAACTTCATGATTGTGAGGTGTACAATTGTCCATGAATGTGATTTGAGGTTCGTAAATGACAACCATCGTCAAGCAACTGCATCACTTGTAGCCACTTCATTGAAAAGGAAGTTGAAGGATTCTCGGACAATATACACACCAAGTGACATAATGAGAGATGTGAAACACAACTTTGGTTTGACCATTCATTATTTGAAAGCTTGGAAAGTGAGGGAGTTAGCTCTAATGTTCATTAGAGGATCAGCCGAGGAGGCATATTATATCCTTCCAGCCTATTGCTATGAATTGGAGCGTATAAATCCCGGCACAAAGACACACATCCATACTGATGAGAACAATTGCTTTGTGTATTTTTTTTTTATGGCAGTTGGCGCATGTATTAGAGGGTTTCGTTCTTCCATGCCCCTAGTGATAGCCATGGATGCCACTCATTTAAAATCCAAGTACAAGGGTGTTATGTTTGTAGCAAATGCATTCGATGGTAATCGAAATATATATCCTCTTGCTTTTGGGATCGGAGATCTAGAGACGGATGCATCATTGCATTGGTTTTTCACTAAACTTCATGAAGCCATTGGTGAGTGTCCCAATCTTTGTATTATTTCTGATCGCAATGTTAGCATAGAGAATGTGTGGAACAAAGTTTTTCCAAGAGTGCAACATGGCATATGCTTTTATCATATGAGGGGGAACATGATATGACCTGACCCGACTCTCCTAGCACGATATTATCCGCTTTGGGCCCCCCCTCTCTGCCCTCACGGTTTTGTTTCTGGGAACTCACGAGCAACTTCCCAGTGGGTCACCCATCCTGGGATTGCTCTGGCCCCCAACTCGCTTAACTTCGGAGTTCCTATGACTCCGAAGCCAGTGAGCTCCCAAAAGGCCTCGTGCTAGGAAGAGAAGTGCCCACACATTTAAAGCACGTCACCTTTCCCTCCCCGAGCGATGTGGGATTGCTCACCATTCTTGTTTCCCCGAGATACGGTTCTTACATGAAACGCACTTGCAAGTTGAAAAAGCGTGATCAAATGCTGATGCACTTTGAGCAGGGTGCGAAATCTTATTCAATGGCTGAATTTGATTGTCATTTTCGCAAGATCAAGAGAAAGGAACAGGTTGTTGAATATCTTGAACAAGAAGGGTTACACAAGTGGTCTAGAGCTCACATGGATGGACGCCGCTACAATGTA